AAGGAAGGAAGGAAGGAAGGAAGGAAGGAAGGAAGGAAGGAAGGAAGAGAGGGAGGGAGGCAGGGAGGAAGGGAAGAAAGGAAGGAAGGAAGGAAAAAAGGAAGGGAGAAAGAAAGGAAGAAAGGAATGAGCGAAGGAAGGAAGAAAGAAAGGAAGGAAATGGTTTAAGAACTAAGTGGTGACTGGTATGAACAAAAGTTCCTGGAAAGAATCACATCTTCAGCTGAACCTTCTGCAAGGCTGATTAAGGGATTTGAATTTGTATGATACTGAAAGATCAAAATAGTGAATTATCTTGAGCCATCTCTAGTAACTTATTACCTACCTCTGTATGTGACCAGGAAATTCAAGACAATGAGCAGAAGTCAGAAGTGGAGGGGTGGGAGGCACAGATGATGTTTCCAAAACCACAAAGACAGAGGAGGCAGTGGGCTGACAAAGAGAGCTGTGGCTTCCTAGGACAGGGCAGAACTCCAGCAGCTTTGTGTAACTAGATGTGCCATACTTGAGAGAGCCTAATAAGAGCATCAGGGGAAACACACAGAACAATCACAGCCACCAATTTTCACACCCTGCTAACAGCAGAAAGCACACTGCCTATTGACTGCTGCAGAGAAACCTAACCACTTGTATGGTACACGTTCATTTCATAGCTTACTGATAAAATGGTAATTCTAACTGGTAAAGATTGATCCCAGGAGAATGATCCTTTTCCTGACTTTGTCCCACTGCAAACAGTCAAACTGGTAGATATTTCACTTCAAAGCTCTTAAACAAGTTTGTCACAGAAGCTAACAGAATTGAGATTTGTGTCTTCCTTTGCCACGGTATACTATGAGTCTGGCGAAGACTGTGAGACACTGATACACTCATTTGGTGTGGATGTGTATGGATAGGTGTGTCCTTTGCATGAAAAAGTGGCTAGTAAACCAATTTCTGTGTTAGCCCAATGTCAACTATTTTGCTCCATTCAAAGATCTCAGGTCATCATGCCAAGCTTGCCCTACCTGTGGAAAGTGGTAGAATGTCGCTCTGGTACATTCTCCTTTAGCTAAAAGAAAGAGGGAAATACATCTGAAATAAGGGAGAGCGTGTCGCTTCTCTGTGTGTAGTTATTATCCAGCCCAAATTCAGAGATTTCAGTAAGAGAAAATCTCACATCACAACAGACATCATTGGGTTTTCCTTAGTTCCCATAATACTTAATCTTCCTGTCTTCCTCAGTTGGTAGATAATACAGGATCACTTTTAAATGTTTTGAAATTATATTTTCATGCATTGTCATCTCTGCTTTTATATCCCACTATGATATGCCATAATTCAGTTGTGCTATGTTGAAGTTCGGGGGTGTCCCCTCTGAGGCCCAATACTTAATCAGTGCATAGCATCCAGCAACTGGGAAGATAGACTCTCTGTAGAGCTTCTGAAACCAAGCTAGAGGGATCACAGAGACAGGAAAGCACATGGGTTCCCAGTAAGCTGGTGCCTCCTTGTGAATAGTGGCCTGTCTGGAGACTTAACTCAAGTTTTATTCCTGGGGGAGACAACCTGCTTTCAGATGACAGTTTGCTACTACAGAGAGTTCCAGTCCATTCCATTTGAGTTGTCACCTCTGCATGATGATCTGTTTTCCCCATTTAAGGTTATTTATCCTGAAATAACAATAAAACGTCTCCCATTCGAGCCCTTTGCTGTTAGCTCACTTCATTCTTGGGGAGGACAAGACAAGAACCTCGTTGGAGACAGGAGATAGTCTCTGTGACCACTTCAGCTTCATTCTACAGAGATCTTTCAAAGCCACTTGAGATGCTATCCCAGTCTGAACAAATGGGACATGGTACAGCCCTCAAAAGACAGCAACTGTTAAACTTCAGAAGCCCAATAAACTCTTGTCATGGTTTGAATTTAAATATACTCCCAAGAAGTTCCTGTGTTGAACTTATTATTAGAAGGTGGTGTAAATTTTAGGAGATATTGTCTGGTTATAAGAAATAATTAGGACTTTAGCACTATGCCCTAGAAGCTATATCTTCTTTCCAGGCTCCTTTCCTATTCTGGTTTTGTTGTTGTGGTTGTGGTTGTTGTTGTTGTCATTGTTGTGAATAGACTGAACAGCAGGCATCTTAGAACTCTGGGTCAAGCTCAATTGGGCAAGAAGGGTCTTGTCACTCTCCAAAATCCTGCATGAAGACCATGGCAAAGTAAATAAATAAATAAATAGAATAGAATAGACTTCCAGGTCCCAAGTTTGTTGTCTCATGACAATGAGATTTAAAAAAGGGAGTAAGGCAAGTGAAAGCAAGCTTTGGCACATGTGCAGGAAAACATTCACTGAACACATAAAATCTACAAGCCTTCTTCAAATTTTAAAAGAATTATTACAGAACGCCGAGTAGTTACGGAAAAGTGAAAATTAAGTAAAAGCAAGAGAAACTCCAGAGAGAAGGAAGGACTTCAGACAGAAAAAAAAAAAGGACATGAGTGTCCTTTGTCCAGGACTCTTACAACACAGTTTCTAGAGACAGATATGAAGCATGAGTGTCCTTCCACATATAATTTCTTCTAACGCAACTAATTGCAACAGGTTTACTCATAAGTAAACTGTGTAAAAGCGAGAGGATGCTGGACAAAGCCTGAGGTCCTCTCTACTGACATTGATTCATTCCCTGGGTTATCATGGGTAAAGCCAGTGGAGGGCTCACATCCTGTAGGCATGGCATCTTTGCTCAATCAGGGAGATGATCATGTGACGTTCATGCGCCGACTGCCAAGTCAGAGTTGAAGCCTCCCTCCCACAATGTCTTCCCCATTCATCTCTGACCCCAGCTTTAACTTTTGACTGTCTGTTGGCTGTTAATCCTCAAGTGGTTTTACTTATACTAAAGTCTCTTTGTTCTCACGTTTACATGATCAGCCTGTAGCTTTGCCATTGCAGTGTTATCTGGATCTCAGACACCAAGTTGCAGCTGCCATCTTTCATGGTTACCCCTTGCTTACTGGGTGGTCTGGGTGAAGGGACTCTAGGCAGCTTAAGCATGACAAACATGGCTCTGGCAGGCCTTGCCCTTCTCTCCCATCCCCTCTGTCTTGCTAAAGCATTAGATTACATTCCTAAAGCTAGTCACCAAGGTCTATTCCCTTATTTGGACACGTCCTTCTCCTGTGGCTGACTGACTACCAAGGTCCAGCTATCAAAGTGTTGATATTTAGCAATCAAAAGCCGCCTTTGGCTCACCTAATTAATATTCCCAATTAAAATTAAGCACCTCATCCTAAACTGGGGTTTCCCATTTTACCTTTATAAACTGCCAAAATAAAACTCTTGTTGGAATTTTTGGGGTTGGTTAAAAGTCACCATGGGGTTTTTGTTTTGTTTTTCTTTTCTTTTTTCATTTTGTCTTAAAACAATACTTCTCTCACATTAAGAAGTAGGGTCTTTCTGCTTCTCAGCTTTCCTGCTAGTCTAATGGCTTGCTTTGGCCAGGATAATGTAACAGCACACGCATACCACAATTAGAGCCTGAGAAGCTACTCCTAGTGACAGTGTAAATACACTCCGTGTGGTGGTTTGTATATGCTTGGCCCAGGGAGTGGCACTATTAGAAGCTGTGGCCCTGTTGGAGTAGGTGTGTCACTATGGGTGTGAGCTTTAAGACCCTCATCCTAGCTGCCTGGAAGTCAGTATTCTGCTAGCAGCCTTCAGATGAAGGTGTAGAACTCTCAGCTCCTCCTGCACCATGCCTGCCTAGATGTTGCCATGTTTCCGCCTTGATGATAATGGACTGAACTTCTGAACCTGTAAGCCAGCTCCAATTAAATGTCCTTATAATTGCCTTGGTCATGGTATCTATTCACAGCAGTAAAACCCTAACTAAGACACTTGGGAAGAGGGGTCCCAGTCTCTCCTGACATCTCAGTGCACCCAAAAAATGACAAGGCCAAATGCCACAAAGGTCTTTACTCTGAATCAGTTTTCCTGGTTCCAGTAAATCTGATCAGGAATAACGCCTTTATCTTTACTCTGGATCTCCCAAAGTTTTCTGAATTTTATGATACTT